GTAAAATGTCAAATGATAAGATATAAACTATAAGTTTGTCAAGAGTATTAACTAATCCAACAAATTGAAAAATTTTATTATAATTTCAGACTAATTACTCTGATAAAAATGTAACAGAAAGGTGAAATTCCTCTATATATTTCTGAAATATAAATTTAAAAGTTACATTAAAAAAAAATTTAACATATTTTTCACTACATTGTACTCTCGTCGGTCCAAAAAGTAAATTATAATGTTTGGAATGATTATGAATACTTAATCTGGGCCATATTAAAGCTGCCTAAACATATTTTAGTTGAAATTTAATTTTTGACTTTTGGCCAAAGATCATGGTCTTCTGGCCCACTGCGCTATGTCATAATTCAGAGCACATTAAGTGGTGTCGTGACTCACGTTTTGGAGAAAAAAAATTTTCTAGTGTGACTGTTATAAGAATAATGCTAATATATTTTGTACAGCTTTTAGGGGTGAGCATTCAACTAATTTAGTATGCCTTTAATGTTATTATTATATGAGATGCTGTGTAGGAATTTAGGTAGTGAATAGTTCTTGTTTAAGGTAGCGAAAACGAATGATGAAGACTATGAAGAGAATGCACTTTATTATATCATTGACCTTTTATTATACCATTTGAATTTAATTTCCAGTTTTTGTTAACAGGATGCCATTCTGGAATATCAGAATTATCATGAACAGAGAAATATTATTTTGTTTGTTGCTAAAAACAGAGTAACTGGGATTGCTGTCAAGAGGGTTGATAATACTTTAGTTGAAGATAGGACTTTTGGAGGTGTTTAAAGGCTCTAATAAATAGATTTTCAATAGATCCGGGACAGACTTGGCAAAACGTTTTGGATTTAAAACAGTTCTTCAAAGCCAGTTGTATTTCTTTCGAAGGCTGTGTATGCTTGTTTCAAAGAGAAGTTGAGATAAATCCAATTTGTATCCTGAAATCAGAAAGGGTGTAATAGCTTAATCCTAAGTCACTGAGGGAACTTTAATTGTTTTGAAAAAAAATTGAAATTCTTGCAGGTCTCAAATTTGGATCGATCGAGAAGGAGGTGTGTACGACTGCACCACAGAGAATTGTTGGAGTCAAATGTTTCAGTTTAGCAGACAATTATTCTCTCAGCAAATTGGGAGTTAGAAAGTAAATAAACCACAAAATCGAGCAAAATGTTGAGAAGAGGCAGGATATATTTTTTAGAAACTTGCAATATCGACAGAACTTACTATTTATAATATAATACTTAAGTTCTACTCACTGAACCATTAAAATTGTATCTTAAAACATTAAAATCCAATCATTAAATCAAAAGTAAATTCATGGTGTTCGGTCATAATTCTATTTTGAGTATTGTTACAAAGCAATTTCTTATTCAATTGTTTAGGTAAAAATGGTAGTAATTCATTTTTGAACCAAGTGGTTTTTTGTAAGTGCTAGATAATATTTCAGCGTTTAAAAAAAGTAACAGTTATGTTATTCAAAACCTAGAATTTTAGATTAGTATTTATTATTATTACTTGAAGTCTTGGAATCTCTTACAAGAGGACACACTGTGGAATTAAGAAAAATGTGTTGATGTAATGTGTTAATTTATAAAAAATTACTGCTCAAACAAGTGTTATGAAGAGGTCTAAACTATTGTACAACAACAAAAATAGCCCTTCATGATAAATTATTTTGCACCAACATTCCATAACGGTCGTTGAACAGCCAACCCATTTTTTTTAGTTTACGACTACTAGTGTTCCATTCCATAGCACTTTAATTTTGAACCCAATTCAAAAGACAAGGAATTTCCTGGATCAAGTATTGCAATAAATTCGTCTTTATGGAGGACTTTTAAGGAGGACTTCATGGAGGAACTAACAAGCATTTAAGCTACATAGAGAGCCTGATGGAGAGGGGACTCTAATCTAATATCTCTTCGAATTCGTAGACGAAAAATCGAAAAACTGTTTAAAGAAATACTTTATTTCAAGTTAACGCTACAAGCAGAGTTTTCGTATACAATTTAAAGGATGTAGTTAAATCTGAACACCTAAACTGGTAAAAAGATTAGATCCAACTCACATGCATTCGCACACAAAAAGAGTTATTTTAATTTCCAGAAACAGCAACGTTGGCACACTTTGAATATCACTAGTAGTTGTTTACATCGAGCAAGAGCTGTCGTTAGTTTGTTGTTTATTCCAACCCACAATACAATATCCACTTTATTTTTACCTTTAAAATATGTATGTAAATTTTAACTAGAATAACAACAATAATTGTATTTTATTTATTAAACATCTGTAAACTGCATTAAATAAATTTAATAATATTTAATTTCTATCGGTTCGGTTTTGCTAACCCTAGTTCGAATTCATATTTTTATTCTTTCTTTGTTGTATGCATGTTTAAAAACAAACTAATTTTGTTTTAAGAAAAGCATCCTAAATTAATGATTCTTGTTTTATATTGTATCGTAAAAATAATTCTTTCTATATGCGTCGTATCTTACTATAATTATAAATTTACTTAGTAACAAAGGTGGTGACGGCTACTTTATACCAAGTAATGTAAGAGAACATTCTAGGCGTTTCTCTACACCAGGAACTATCCTTGTTTCTTGGTGTAGTGAAACACCACTTTTGTGTTAAGTAGTTGCCACCATTTTTGGTGTTAAGATACACGAAAAGTTTTTACATTGTATCTGTGTTACTTTGAATAACCGGAATGGGTGGTTGTTGACTTCCACCGGTGAATGTTGACAATCACATAGTCGCTTTGGTAAATGTCTTATACTAGGTCTAGTTAAGAGTCACTTTCCGGTGTGCTCTACATCAATGCTTATTTAAGGTCAAGTACCACTGCCCAGTATGCATTTAACCGGTACTCCGAACACTGATGTTTCTCCTAATCTATCTTCAACAGATACTAAAATGTCGAATAAATATTATAATATCAACGAATAAACTAAAATCAAATCGGATCTAACAAATAATTCGGAACATTCACCAAAGCGACTATGTGAGTGTTGACATTCACCGGTGAAAGTCGACATTCTCTTCATTTCGGTCATTTAAGCTAACCTATACACAATTTAAAATTTTAATTTTGGAAAAAGTGAGTTCATGTAAATCTAGAAAATGCTGAAATTGTTTTTCAAAATGCAACAAATAATCTGTTTGCATTTTGATGTTTTGAAAACTTTTTTTCAGCATTGATTTACTCTATGTTTCCTTGAACTCACTTTTCAAACCAATTTTCACTAACTTAAAATGGAGTTGAGAGGATACCTCGTAAGAAATCCATCGTAGAATAAGTTGGTCATTGTAATGAATGCCACAACGTGAGTGTACGCTTCGTTTATTTCTTTCACCTGCTCTTCTGTGATTCCAGATTGGCCGAACATGGTGCAGCGGAGTATATTGTTGCATTTGTTGGTCAGGTGCTGCACGATTTCCACTGGTTCACCCTTCTTTGCTTTCAAGAAGCTGATGGTCTCCTGGATGGAATCGTATAAAGGTTCACTCATGTTGTCCTTAACGGTGGTCATTCCGTACTCCCTCAGTTGTTGCAACGAGAACTTCCTCAGGACTTTCCATGGTTCACCATTAATGACACTGACCCCTGTTGGGGAGCATTTGAAGGTTTAATGAGTAAGCCGAGGGTTCTCCATACATTTTAATCGATTCCTCAAAAGCTAAATTGAAAGAATGCTCAATCAACTGCAAAATTTTGAGCGCAACTTTTAACGGCAAAATGAAAGCAAAAATGGAAAAGGCTATTTGTAAAACAATGATAAATATGTTCAGTCACACATTCAAAGGTTTCTTTTAGTACTTTTTGTTTCTTTTTTATGGTATTAGATAGCATTTGTCTTATATTAACCGTAAGGCTAATTTTATTATCTGTACCCCTATGGGAGAAGGTGATTTGTAGAGAAATGTTCACGCAATTGCAGTGAAGCTCAAATTGCGTTACATTAGAGTTAGGGAGAACCATAACGTTAGTAAAAATCTCTCAATTTTTAACCCTCTCATGCCTCCAATGAAGACATATATTTTGTTTTCATAACGTTATTCAGTTGCATAGTTGTGCAGTAATTTGCATGTATGGAGACACGAAACAGTTCTAAACCACATCAGGCCACTCAAGATAGTTAAAAGATCCCTTAAGAAGTCGATGGAGAATTCAAGAAAGAAGAGAAAATCTGATATTTTGTTTATAAATTTTATAGAGTATATTATATTGCTGGTAAGGTTGGAACTATTTTACATCTTCTCCAACCTCATGAATGAAGTTTAAATTTTCAATTTTTCCTTGAATAAAATTGTATCGACAAAATATACCACAAATATGAACATAATGTCCTCATAAGAGGGCACCCATTTTTGACTATTCGAGGCAAAAATTTCCAAAAATAAATTAATACACCACAATCCTGAGATACTAAATAGGTTTGTAGCATATCGAAATATTTTTTATATTTGAAATGAAAAGTTCATGCATGACAGGGTCAAATTGGACACTTTATTTAGAAATTTTTTTTTCTCGGGTCTAAAGTTCATCGATAAATATTACAGCTGATGAACTTTCGAACACTCTTCTAGTTTAATTTTTGAGAGAACGAAATGAAGCTTTTTCGAGAAGTATGTATTTAGACAATCTACATTAATTTAGGCATCTGACCCTAATGAGCTCTTGAGAGTCATTGCAATGCAAACATTAAAAGGACTCACAATAAGGCAATTAGTTAAAAATCATAATGAAATGTTAGTTTTGCAATTATTTTCTTTCTCTTCTAAATTCATTATTCTGTTTATCAAAAATCAATCCTACTTGTACAAAATTCATGCTTTAAAAAAAATGACCAACTTAAAATGAGTGACAAAAATGCAGAATATCAGACTAGAAGGAAGTTTTAGATGCAAACTTATGTCCATATTCGGATGAGGAAGAGTGTTCTTCGTTCGGATGGGGTTAAGTTTATAGAAGATTTTGAAAATTGTTCGTAATGCGAGGCCTTTGAGGAGTGTCGATGAGGTGAGTATAGAACCGGCGATGAATAGATCAAGTTCCACACGAGCCGAAAGTATACACACGTGACTGGGCGACTTTTCCCGTTAAGCCTAATTCGATTTAAAAATTCTTATAAAAAAATGGCTGGAATTAAATATGTTGAAATTTGTAGTTTAGTATCATGGATAGTATCTGAATATAGTGTGACGATATTTAAAAAAATAATAATAATAATTGCAGAACTGACTCAAAATATTATCTAGCAAAACCTCATACTGCAAACGACTAGTCTACACTCTCAAGCATTCCATCCGTCAAAATATAAACAAAAATCCAGGGCACATTAATCCACATGCCCAATTCTTTCGAAAGAGCCAAACATGTTTAAATGTTTAATTAACCTGGAGAGGGGAAACCTCAGAACCAAAAGTGCATATTGAAGGTTAAAGACTGAGACATTATACGAAATTAAAACCGCCTGGTGTCGCCTAAAAAGCGAAATCAGGATTTGTTGGAGTCGAAAAAGCTCGTCTCATACTTGATACCATTGGCCATGAAGGGAAAATTGTGTCATCACGTATGCGTGATCAGGATTATGGTCCTCAAAGTGTTAAACAAGAAGTTTTTTTTTGTTGAAGTTATTTCACAAGTCACGATTAAACATTCAAACGGTATAGTTAGTTCTTCGCATTATAAAGTGAGGTATTTTTAAAAAAATTTTTTTTTGCTAATATAAAGAATAAAATGGGTCTTGCTCTTTGTTTCACCGTTGCACAGATAGTTAAGAAAGGGATTTGTAAGTACAAAATATTTTATTGAGGGGCTTTCAAATTTTTTGTTTAGTAATCAGCGACTTATTATTAAAAAAATTTTGAACTAATTACAAGATCAGTAATTCCCAACTTGTTTAGGCAATGAAACCCTGAATGATCGAACTTCTTTGACTGAACCACGACTTTGTAATAAAAATGTTCTTTTAACAGCTCTGTAGGGTTCTTTTGATTCGAATAGGAAGAAATGATGGCGATTATAAGATAAAAATATTTATTAAGAAGAAATGAAGATAAAAATACGTACAATACAACTAAATCATCATAACATAACTAGAGCATTTACTTATGTCTGCTCATATCCGTATCCCCCCGTCTATCTGAGTGAGGTTCGGACAATGCGCAGGAGCGCAGAGGGTTGCTATAGTAACCCGACAAGCTGTACATACATTAATTAGGAAAAATATTACTAATAATTTTGACAATATTTAATGAGGAGTCGTGGTGTGTTAGGTGTCACCTTCCAATGAGGTGAACCGGGTTCGAATCCTAGCGACGGCAGATGAATACGAATTACACACCCAGCTCGCACAGACCGCAGTGCTGATGTACCTTGAATGTATTTTTCCAACATTTCCTTTCACCAATCAACACGAGCCTTTTTTTGAGCGTTTGTCAGATTGTGCGGGATCCAACGCGAACAAATNTCGATAAATATTACAGCTGATGAACTTTCGGACACTCTTCTAGTTTAATTTTTGAGAGAACGAAATGAAGCTTTTTCGAGAAGTATGTATTTAGACAATCTACATTAATTTAGGCATCTGACCCTAATGAGCTCTTGAGAGTCATTGCAATGCAAACATTAAAAGGACTCACAATAAGGCAATTAGTTAAAAATCATAATGAAATGTTAGTTTTGCAATTATTTTCTTTCTCTTCTAAATTCATTATTCTGTTTATCAAAAATCAATCCTACTTGTACAAAATTCGTGCTTTAAAAAAAATGACCAACGTAATATAAGAGACAAAAATGCAGAATATCAGACTAGAAGGAAGTTTTAGATACGAATTGATGTCCATATTCGGATGAAGAAGAGTGTTCTTCGTTCGGATGGGGTTAAGTTTATAGGAGATTTTGAAAATTGTTCGTAATGAGAGGCCTTTGAGGAGTGTCGATGAGGTGAGTATAGAACCGGCGATAAATGGATAAAGTTCCACACGAGCCGAAAGTATACGTGCTAAAAACTGTAAGACTTAAAATTGAGAAAACTTTTTCTCAATTAAAAGCGTTATTTTAAAAGTTCGCCCTTGAGTTGATGTCAATCAAAAGTAATAAAAAAGAAAGAGATAAGATTTTGCCAGATATCTTTACATTAAAAACTTTAAAAGATAAAAAAAAAGTAATAAATAGAAAACCGTTCCCTATTTGTTTTAAATCTCGTTATCTTATTCTTATTTAGTCACATAATCTGTATTCCTCATGTTAACTTTTTTTTTTCAAGTACAGGTGAATATTTTTCTATTCACTTAATTGTTCATTTCCTGACTATTAACATGTTGGAAAAATGTTTCTGATTAAAACTACAATTATTACATATTTTGTTAACAAAATGTACTTTATTTTAGGGGAAATTATTGACTAATAAAAAAAAAAGATGAATGAGATACAATACAGGGTTTAGTGAAGTTGGTGGCGCCTCTTAGAGTTTAAAAAATGCTGTTGAAATAACATACCATTGTTGAAGAAACATGAGCTAACTGAAAAATCGTTGCTTCTCTGAAAGCATTCTGCATGGGTTAAATGAAATTCTTTAACGGCCTTCATACTTCCCATGTTGATGTACAGAGTACCGGCAAAAGTGAAACTGAATACATCACCGTATTTCTTCTGCAATTTTTCCAGAGTCCGGTGACAAGTGTCATCTTTCAGGATGAGGGAGTAACCGAAAAAGGGAAAAGACACGGGTCCCGGAGGCAAACCTTTATTCCTTTTGTAGTAATAAATGCAGATGGTGGCAACAACTATCACGATGATGGCTGCTGTTGTTTCTTCACAAACGCTTCTAAGGAACACTTGGAACATCTTTTGTTTAGAGAGATTATGCAGTTCTGAAATAAATAAAAAAGTATCAAACTAAATCTTGAGTATGCTACGAGATTATTCAAACGTCTTTTTTTTTGGTGGATTATTGCAACTATCTTCGAGATTCATATGAAAGTACGTCCCAAATAGCAACATTACCAGATTGCAATCAAGAAGACTCATTTGAAAAGTCACGTGCAGTTTTTGCGACGTTAATGCATAGATCGTAAATAGATTATTATGTCTGCCTTTGGTGTCGTCACATTTTCAAGCTACCTAGACTCCAACATGGGACCACAATGACACATTTAATTGTCGTTATGACGTCCCTGTGTGACGAAAATGTGACATATTATTGTTTCAACTTAATCACACAGCGAACCCGTTGAGTCGTAAATGTGTCGCAGTTGCGTCGCGTCAATACCCGTTGACATGTAAATATGTCACGGACATGCAAATATGTCGCACCGTGTCATTGTTGAGACGTAAATATGTCGCAGTTTTGTCACACCATGACCCTATTGGGACGCAGATGTGTCACAGTTTCGTCACATGATGACGTTACTGCGATAATTTAAAGTCATAGTGTGTTTTCATGTTGACGTCTGGGTGGCGTCAAAATGTGGCGTTGCTAAAGGAAGACATAGTAAATTTTTTTAACCTACGCATCGACATCACAAAACTACAAGTGACTCCACGGATGAGTCTCCGTTACTGCCGCACTTTTCTTGCAATCTGGTAACGGTGTTATCTAGGGAACAGTATTTAGGTCAATTACTGAATTTTCAGCCATCCAAAAGTGATTCAATTTCTGCCTTCATTTTGTTCAATTTCATGTATGCATATCAATTATTTTGAAAAAAAAATTAAAAAAAAAAACTTTGTTACGAATATATAGTGAAAATAATTTTATCAGTTTTTAATTTTAAAAAATAAGTTAACTAAGAGAGATGAAAAATTAAATCTTTGTGGTATTCCATCAATTTGAATAAAAATATGTTTCCTATTGTAAATATAATTATTAAAAAGGCAAATATAAAGTAAAATTTCCCAATAATCAAGATCGCAAATACGGATATTTTTAAAATTATAGTAATGACTCAAAAGAACATCTTTTAGTTCAGAAAGGGGAATGCTATTGAAACGATCCTAGAAATCAAAAGTCGCAATAGAATTAATTTTATTATTTTGTTTAATAAATTCTAAAATCAGTTGATTATGATAATCCAAGAAAAATATTGTTAATAATTTAAGTAAAGAAAATAGTGCCAGGTTTAGTGTGAGGTAAGTATTTATATATATATATATATATGTGTGTGTGTATGTTACGGCGAATGACCGAAATAGGTGGTTGTTGACTTTCACCGGTGAATGTCGACAAACACCAAATACGTAGGTGAAAGATCGAATATTTCATTACATTCTTGTACATTCGGACCCTCACCGGTGTATGTCAACAATCACATAGTCGCTTTGGTGAATGTCCGAAATNTATATATATATATATATATATATATATATATATATATATATATATATATATATATATATATATATATATATATATATATATATATATATATATATATATATATATATATATATATATATATATATATATATATATATATATATATATATATATATATATATATATATATATATATATATATATATATATATATATATATATATATATATATATATATATATATATATATATATATATATATATATATATATATATATATATATATATATATATATATATATATATATATATATATATATATATATATATATATATATATATATATATATATATATATATATATATATATATATATATATATATATATATATATATATATATATATATATATATATATATATATATATATATATATATATATATATATATATATATATATATATATATATATATATATATATATATATATATATATATATATATATATATATATATATATATATATATATATATATATATATATATATATATATATATATATATATATATATATATATATATATATATATATATATATATATATATATATATATATATATATATATATATATATATATATATATATATATATATATATATATATATATATATATATATATATATATATATATATATATATATATATATATATATATATATATATATATATATATATATATATATATATATATATATATATATATATATATATATATATATATATATATATATATATATATATATATATATATATATATATATATATATATATATATATATATATATATATATATATATATATATATATATATATATATATATATATATATATATATATATATATATATATATATATATATATATATATATATATATATATATATATATATATATATATATATATATATATATATATATATATATATATATATATATATATATATATATATATATATATATATATATATATATATATATATATATATATATATATATATATATATATATATATATATATATATATATATATATATATATATATATATATATATATATATATATATATATATATATATATATATATATATATATATATATATATATATATATATATATATATATATATATATATATATATATATATATATATATATATATATATATATATATATATATATATATATATATATATATATATATATATATATATATATATATATATATATATATATATATATATATATATATATATATATATATATATATATATATATATATATATATATATATATATATATATATATATATATATATATATATATATATATATATATATATATATATATATATATATATATATATATATATATATATATATATATATATATATATATATATATATATATATATATATATATATATATATATATATATATATATATATATATATATATATATATATATATATATATATATATATATATATATATATATATATATATATATATATATATATATATATATATATATATATATATATATATATATATATATATATATATATATATATATATATATATATATATATATATATATATATATATATATATATATATATATATATATATATATATATATATATATATATATATATATATATATATATATATATATATATATATATATATATATATATATACAATATAATGAAGTAGTCGTTTCAATGATTAGGAGGAATAGTGCTTGATTATTATTTTTAGACAATGGGTTTTCTCCCCAATCTTCAACGTTATCCTAGTAGCTAGTTTAGTTACGCTATTTCTAACTTTGAATCAGCCATTTTAAGATTTTTATATTTAGTTTTTTAGTCTTTAGATTTTTATTCAAGGAATTTAGATCACAAAAAAAAAACTTAATTTTAAACAAAGAGCTCAAAGGAGACAACTGTATACTATGTAACTGCCTTTCAGAAACTGCTGATTGCAGAATTGAGTATAATTTTGTCAGAAAAAGAAAATAAAAGAGAATCTAAAATACCTTATATTTCGAATTCTGATATATTAACGGCCATTAATTTTACACGTATCGAGTTATGCTGCCAAATAGATTAAATTAGTTCATTTGGGAATATTATATAGAAGAAATTAAAACATATTTAGAATTTTCCCTTTTCGACAGTTTGTCTAGATGAGAAATTCCTTTCTCTTTACTTATGTTACAATAATAATATGGAAGAATACATATATCATAGCACTCGTCCTTGACTAAGTAAGCTTACATCGAAATAGGAACTGCCCACTTAAAAACAGTTTTTTTTTTCTAGAGTGACGTAGCAGCAAATCAAAGTAAATAATAAAGCGTAAAACGAAACAAAGTTCAAATGGAACGTTCTTCGTCCTTGACTGAGGATAAAATAAACTAGTACTCTATTAAAAGTTTCAAAGAGTCCTCCAAAAACAGTAAAATTATTAAAAACTAAATAAATAATAATTTCAATTTAAATTTGCATTTTTGTTTTTAATAGTATTTTATTTAAAACTACCTACTACATAAAATTACCTATTCATAAAATTAAATTATTTTTCATAACGTAACAATTGAAGAAATAAACTTCACAGAATATATTTAAATATAATTTCACATAACAAAATAAAAGATATGAATGTAATCGTTCTAATAGTTTCTCAGAAATCGAATTTTAAATATACGACATTTTATAAAACTGTTCGACCCATTTCGTTTAAGTTTTGTATTTTTCCATGTTAAATTACATTCTTCCGAATGATGTAAAAATGTGTATAATTCAAAACTTTAATGAAGGTGGTACGAATTATTTCAGAATTTTTTTTTTCTTCAAATAATGAGTGAAAAAAAGTAAAAAGCGTTGCTAAAGTTCAGTAGTTTTTATTTAAATATTTTACCATAAGTCACTATTTTTTTTTTTCTTTCCAAGTGCGTTGGTTAAGCGCGAGTATATTGCTTGGAATTTCAAAAAAAGCTGCGATCCGGTTCGCAATCTATACCAAAACAAATTAGTCGGAAAATTAAAAAAGTGTTTTAAATATTTAAATTAATTTTAATATTGTGATGAGGAATTTGAAGTCAGTCATTTCCTTTCATTAAAATAGGTATCAAAAAACGTTTAAACGTACCTCTCTTGAATCATTGGAATCCATCATTCGTTCTGTTGCAACGGAGGAAAAAAGAAAGATTCTCAACAATTACGTTTAATTCTTGATTCTTGCGAAAACAATTCCCAAACAAAGTTACAACATGTAACTATAATGATTGGTTTCCATCATTATTTACTTATTTATTTCATCTTAGAGAAATGTATTTATTTATTTCATTTTAGATTTTATGATATTATTCATAATAACGGGTTGTATATGTCTCCCGTACTGGTACGTCTTCTTATACGTTCCGATTTGTCTAAGATAATGTAAAATATTTTAACTAAAACCTTAACCTTCCCCTGAATTAGCTTTTTCCCATACTATTAAAAAAAAGTGATATTAATTCACGTTTCAAAAAGTATCACAACTATACACTCTTTAAAAGATTAAAACGAAATAAATTTATAAATTTCTCTTTTTTAATCTAAATTTTCTCTTTCAAAGAAAGCATCTACCAAAAAATAAAATCAAAATATAATTCTACTCATATCCTTTATTTTTCCTTTTAAAAAAATACTTACAAAATTTCTTCTTACCTTAATCTTCGTTTTCATTCACTAATATCCACTCAAAAATATGATTCTCTTTTCAATTTATGTATCTTGGTATCAAGTTTTCTACGGAATACATTAAATCTGCATGTAGTGTCGCCATCTACTGAGGGTAAAAGTAAAATGTGTAAAACTTGCTATCGATGTTTACATATTCATTTATTTCGTTCCCGTTAGTGACGGTAACTGATTTCAAAGAATAATAACTTATTGAATCCAATCAGGGTAAATGTATTTCTGTTTTAATTTTTTAACTCTGTCTGTTATTCCTGTTCTAAAATGCTCTCTACAGAAATTCATTTCCTATGAAATCGAATTCATTAGCTTCTATTTTGCGATAAAACTAAAATGTTATTCAGTATTGTGATATCTTTTTAGGTTTATCTGTTTTCGTGTTTTGTTATATAATTATTTTATTTTTATCTTTATATTCATTTGACTTACATAAGACAATAAATGCTCTGTTGTATGAATTTTTTGTATTCAAACTCGAAGCGATTAACTTCATATATTTAGCTTAAATAATACAAAAAAATAAATATTGAATGACTTATAATTATTAACTAATAAAACAGCCCAATAGAGGGTTTAGGAATGAAAATGTGTACGTAAGTTTTAAACAAAAAGGTCCAAAATTAATTTGAATTTTAGAATATTTTCTCTTGTTCATAGGAGCTCTGTCGGAGATCGAGTCCTGGTGCTGAATTATTAACATTGGAACTCTGGACACTACTTTGCTTTAAGGATGCTGAATATTTTAGATCTACTACTCGATATACAGTGCGACTAATTTAAAAAAGAGGTGGGAGAGAAGATAAATGTGGGCACAAATCGTCGGGGACACAACTCGTCGCAGCAACAGTTCGTCGTTGGCATAGAGTTGTTGCAGGAACAACAGGTTGACTTGCCACTGTGGCGCCACAGTTCTTTGCAGTGATAATTCTTCTCGGGAACAGTCATAGCAGATACTTCTTAACGTAAACGTATCATCAAACATTTATTTTTTGAGGAAAAAAAAATTTTTTTTGTAAATTTTTTTAAATTTCATTACTTATATTTAGGAAACTGAAACGTTTCAAGCAACAAATCTGTTAAAATGTGTAAATGTAGAGCGGCAATAACCATAATCAAGTTCAAAAAACATCGTTCATGGTTTTAAACTGTCAACAATTGTGACTTAGTAATTTCTTAAAAGATATTTAAATTCGGGGGAAAAAATAATAAAAAATTGCTAAAGCTAAACGAAAAGTAAAAAAAAACAAAACAAAAAAAATGCTTTCAGAAGAGAGACTGAGCGTTTAATCGCGAAACTGTGGCTTTTTAAGGTTTAAGGATATTAGTAAAAATTCCAAACAAAAGTACTTTGAAACGAAATAAAAGAACGGAATGGACCAAAAAACGTTTGATTTAAATTTCTGATTTTCACTCACTCCGTGCTATTTTAAGATGATTCAAGAGGTAGACTTTAAATAACGCTGGCTGCTGTCGATATTTCAGTTATGGGATCTCATAAAACGATGTCTTTTTACGAGATCAATTAGTCTGCGGTATTCGTGATGAAGAGGTTCAAAGAAGATTGTTGGCTGAATCCAAATTAACTCTTGAAAATGCAATTTCTGTTGCCGTAGCATCTGAGGTTGCGGCTTCCCAATCAAAGCATATTCATACACAAAATTCTTCTTATTCTGAGAATTCGGATGTAGTTGACTTCGTACGTGGTAGGAACAAAAGAAATAATGCGCGATTTAGTAAACAAAATTCTAATGTTTCAGGTAGTAGCAAATCGTAAATTCAAAATTCTAAAGTGTGTTTCGGTTGCGGTGGTAAACTTGAACGTTCAACATGTAAATTCAAAAATGCAATATGCCATTCTTGTGGTCTTAAGGGTCACATTGTAAAAGTTTGCCGGAAGAAAAATAAATTTGAAAAACAGCGTGCAAATGAAATTGAAGTTCAACCGGAATATTTGAATGTTTTAAGTTCTCAATCTCCGTTTAAGAAAAACGTTATTGTTGAGTTTGATAAGGAAAAATTAGAAATGGAAATTGATTCGAGTTCCTATTATTTCTTTGCAAACGTTGAATTAAGTTTTCCGTTCTAAGAAACCCGCGATCGAAAAAACTTTAATTAAACTGCGCGACTTTTCTAAAAATGGGATTTCACTAGCTGGCGGAAGTAAAGTTGAAGTTGTGCATAACCTTTTCAAATCTAAGTTAGAATTGTTAATTTCAAATAATCACTGTACGAATATTTTGGGGGTATTCTTGGTTTGAACCTTTAGAAATTTCAAAAACAGGAGTAAACGAAATTAGAACTGGAATTATCGAAAAAGTTCTTAAAAATTACGATATTTTTGATAACAAATTGGGTTCGTATACGGGTAATCCAGTATCGCTTCCTATAAATTCGGATATGGCGCCTGTTAGATGTAAAGCAAGAAGCGTGCCTTTGGCAATGAGGCCCAAAATAGTGGAAGGCGAGAATGCAAAGATAGATGTATATTTAACTTCAAGACGAAACAAAAAAAAAACCCTCTAATTTCATAAAATTTGGTTTAAATAAAAATTTTCCAAATCGATACGTTCTAATAAAAACATTTGAAATAAAAAGTATCTAATTAAACGTGGGGTATTCCGAAATTGCTACTTCTAATACGAGGTTTTAATATAATATAGATTCTTCGAATCTTAGTAAAAATTATAGTAAAACTTAGAATCTTAGTCAAAACTATAGGAGTAGACAGAGGCCGCAAATAAATTTTATGCATATTAGAAGTGGGGGGGGGGGAAACAATATCTGTAAAAAGTAGCGAATCCCAGTTGGGGTAAATAACGAAACATATTTGATTTTCGGGCGAAACAAAAAGAAACTGAAAGGAGTTCGGTAGAACTATATCTAAGAATCAGACAATCAAATTGGTTCTGCCGTATTTTCATCCTTTCTTCTTAACTAATGATTCGATAGCTTCTAACTATCTCTATGTTACTTTCAAGCTTATATATTAGCCAAGCTTATATATAATTGCGCACTATTTAGATTAAAATCTTAATTAGAATGGGGAATCGGAACATCCTCTGTTTATATATTTTAAAAATAAATTCCGCAATTAAAATCCGCAAATAAATATCTTAGTCAGAATTTTATCAAAATCTTAGGAATCAGTGTTGAGGATAATCACAGCATAAATGGATTTAAAATTAATAAGAAAAAAAATAATAATTCCAATTTACCTAATAAATCTAGTAATCCAAATAATCACCTTACATCCCCATTTAGTTATGTTATACAAACTGGTTTTTTATGATTTTAATTGCGTACATGCTATATGTGACTTTCAATTTAAATCGGATTTTTATTATGTTTCTGTTTTTTTTCTTTCGTTTAAGCATTGGCATAGTAAGCGTTTAATTTTTTAAAGTCATTTTTAGCCCCTTGAAAAATATTTTTTTTTAAATGAAAATTTAAAAAGTTTAGACGGTTTTTAATTTAAATCATTTCACGATTATCACATTCATATAAGTGTTATTGTAAGTACCAAGATTTTTTTTTAAAAAAATACATAATTCAAATACAATTTCTGAGCAAAACAAAACAAAATTTAAGTATTAGTGGTAATTGACAGATTCCTTCATGTAGCATGAAAATGTGTTAGTTGTAATAATTTTCCTCACAACTTTTTCTTTCTGACATATAATTTCTTTTCTGGATCATTAATTCTTAGGGAAAGGACCTAAAGGAAGCGCGTGCCATACTGCAAATTTTTTTCAATACTTCTGATTTTTTAAAAAAATTCTTTCTAAGGATTTAATCCTTAAAAAGTTATTTTTTATTTATTAAAAATTTAGGTAATTTATTTATAATTTAACAAAATAAAAGTTTAAATTTAACAACGCAACAAAATTTAAGTAGGGTGACCTGGGGTAATTCCTGATCAAAAAATGCAAAAATCTATTTTGTGAAAAAACTATTCAAGATAGAATTTTAATATTTACTGGAAATTTGAGGCTATATGGGATGAGTCCTATGCTACCTTCTTTTGTTTGAAAATCTAATTAGAATTTAAAAGATTTTAAATTTTTAGTGATCAGGAATTACCCCTTCTCTTGATCATTTCTGGGGTAATTACTTATCACCAGTTTTTATAGAAAATGGGCTGTTTAAAAATAACTATACAACGGTAATTAACAAATAAGACATTAAGATCAAACAAATAAACCAAAAAGATATTTTTAAGCAGCTATTAAAACGTTTTATTTAAAAGCCGGAATAAAGATTAACACTTCAGCTCTGGCAGCAGCTCTCACACTGAAATTTTCAATCTTTAAAAGAAATCTGCCATTTTTGCTTTCTAGAAGCTTAGTATCCTTTTTAGGCTTATAATTTCTCATCATATTTATATTAGGATAATTTATCAACTTAAAAATTATTCTAACAATGTACACACATAAAATTAAGATAAAAGAAAGGTAAGACAAGCTAGAAATGGTGCATATCAGAACACATTTGTCTTGTATACAGTTAAAAACAAATTTTGTGATTATAGTTAAAATATATTTTATAGTTGTTCCACTTAATAAATATGAACTGTTATATAAGAAAAGACAATTNGATTTCGAAAGGGTTTAAGAGATATTTATCCACATCTAATGTTTATCGAGTCTCATAGGAGAAGTGATGATTTAATCTCGTTCCGCTAGGGAATGGCGCGCATGCGCCAACAGTAGGTGTGAAACAATTAAACAAAAGCTTACACTATTTTTATATCAAAGAAAAAGAAAGTAAATCAAAATACTTATTATTAAGAGAAGGAGGGGGATCTTTGCAGAAATGTGCACAATTTGAAACCCATCCTTGAAATGGAAAATGTAGAAAGCATTTTAAAATATACTTATTTTGTTAAATTAAACAAAAACTATTATTAAGTAAATGTAGTTATACTTTAGTAAAGTGCACAAGCTTTCTTGTCCATATCTCAAATTAAAAAAAAATATTTTTTAAAAAAATAAAACTTAGGTGATCATTATTTACCCCAGAAACAGAGTGATCCTGAATTACCCCGGGTCACCCTATTATTAATTGTAATTTAATGCTGTATTTATTTAGTTTATAATTGAAGTTAGTAGTTTATGAAAGATATATTTTTGTTTAATTATATTTATTTTCCATTAATATAGTGAAATAATTTTCAAAGACACATTTGTTATTATCAAGAGTTTAATAAATTTATATTCTGATTTGTTTCAAGGATTAATTTCTTGGTAAAACTTGACTGAATATGATGAATGTTTTTAGAATTTTTAACTAATAAGTTCCATTTCATACGATTTTTCCAAGCATACGATTTTCTTAAATTTCGGTAGATGGTGACGTTTAAAACTATTTTATTTGATTATCCAATACCTTTTAAAAATTTCGTTTTGACTTTGTAAGGCCGGATTGCGTCAAATGCATAACTATATTAGGTGGCAGATTAAGCAAAATTTCTATTTTTTTAGCTTTTAAGGACATTCCATATCTAAGAATTACACGGTTAAATAATAAATGTATGTGATAAAATATCTTACTTTCTCAAAATTTTTCGGAAATAAATTATGAATAAAAAAAAAATTATTTAACTTTTTTACTAACCACTAAATGACTTTTTTACTAACCACTAACCACTTGTCTCCACAGAAAACCACTAAATGACACAAACATCTAAACTGATTTAAAGTACGGCATTCACTCAACTACGATAGTTGGGTAATTCTACCTTATAAATTCACCTTTTCACAATGATGAGTAATCTTTGGTGGCATAAAGTACAATATTAAATCATGCCATAATGTGAACTACCAGGATATTATTCTGAGAAAATATTTCATAATACACACAACAAAAATTGGACTAATAAACCTGATGAACTTAACTTTTCATAATGCTGCATAATGTGACATAAAATACAATATTAAATCACACAATAATGAATATACAACTAGAATGCTATCTATTTTGCGAAAATATTTTATTATCTGCACAACAAAAATTGGGTTTTTCAGCGTTAGGAACATGAGTGTTAAAAATGTTGAACATCTTTATTTTTACATAAAATACAAAAATAATTCACTGAACATAAACATGACTATAATAGCTACAACACTATTTTGCATAAAAAAATAATCCAAAAATAAAAGAAAAAATAAAATTTCTAAAAATGGCTAATGCGAATTTTTAAAATTAATTTCTTTAACCATTATGTCACCATGAAAAGTTTAATATTAAATAAAGTGCATTTCCTTTTAACCATATACAAAAAAATACAATATTTTGTTCAAGACATTTAAATTGCACTGAACCATTATAAGAAATGAAAATGAACTGGAAAGGTAGTACGAATGACACATTAAAATTATTTGCATATTTCATTATTTAAAATAATAAATTAGCAAAATATAGTTTTTAAAATTACAAAAAAAAAACCTTAAGATATATTTACTAATTTTGATTTTTAAATAGCTGGCGTGATTATTTATGTTATTTTATAAAAGTTTGGTTATTTACATGATCTAAGATGGGCAAATATGATTAACAAAATTTATATCAAGTAATCATTTAAAAAACTGTCATAATATTCATTAGAGCAATATTTTGGTAACATAAATACAAAATGGTGAAACCTTAGACAAAGTTTAGATTAAAGAACAAGATATTGATTTTATAAAGCAATCTATACTATATCTATATCACGAGTATGAGCACGACTGTGTTTTGTCAGTTTACTTCTTTGTGAGAAACTCTCATTACATATACTACAAGAATAAGGTTTCTCACCAGTATGAACACTACTGTGCCTAGACAATTTATCTTTCTGTGAAAAACTCTTATTACATATATTACAAGAATAAGGTTTCTCACCAGTATGAACACGAAAGTGTACAGTCAGTGTACCTCTATGTGAGAAACTCTTATTACATATACTACAAGAATAAGGTTTCTCACCAGTATGAACACTACTGTGTGTAGTCAGTGTACGTTTATGTGAGAAACTCTTATTACATATACTACAAGAGTAAGGTTTCTCACCAGTATGAACACTACTGTGTGTAGTCAGTGTACGCTTATGTGAGAAACTCTTATTACATATACTACAAGAGTAGGGTTTCTCACCAGTATGAACACGAATGTGTTCAGTCAGTTTACTTCCTTGTGAGAAACCCTTATTACATATGCTACAAGAGTAAGGTTTCGTACCAGTATGAACATAACTGTGTTCATTCAGTGTACTTCTAAGTGAAAAACTCTCATTACATATACTACAAGAATAAGGTTTCTCACCAGTATGAACACGATTGTGCTTAGATAGATAATTTCTTTTAGTAAAACTCTTAGTACATATATTACAAGAATAAGGTTTCTCACCAGTATGAACACTACTGTGCCTAGACAAATTATCTTTTTGTGAAAAACTCTTATTACATATATTACAAGAATAAGGTTTCTCACCAGTATGAACACGAAAGTGTTTAGACAGTGTACCTCTATGTGAGAAACTCTTATTACATATACTACAAGAATAAGGTTTCTCACCAGTATGAACATAACTGTGTTCATTCAGTGTACTTCTAAGTGAAAAACTCACATTACATATACTACAAGAATAAGGTTTCTCACCAGTATGAACACGATTGTGCTTAGATAGATAATTTCTTTTAGTAAAACTCTTATTACATAAATTACAAGAATAAGGTTTGTCACCTGTATGAATACGAATGTGTTCTTTCAGTTTACTTCTTTGTGAGAAACTCTTATTACACATACTATAAGAATAAGGTTTCTCACCAGTATGAACACTACTGTGCCTAGACAATTTATTTTTTTGTGAAAAACTCTTATTACATATATTACAAGAATAAGGTTTCTCACCAGTATGAACACGAAAGTGTACAGTCAGTGAACTTGTTTGTGAGAAACTCTTATTACATATACTACAAGAATAAGGTTTCTCACCAGTATGAACACGGATGTGCTTAGATAAATCATTTCTTTGAGAAAAACTTTTATTACATATGCTACAAGAGTAAGGTTTCTCACCCGTATGAACACAACTGTGCTTAGACATACGATCACTTTCTGAAAAACTCTTATTACATATATTACAAGAAAAATGTTTTATTACAGGATGAAAAGCATTGTGTACAATAAACTTACTTTTCTGAGAACATTTTTTTTCACTCATACTGAATGAATAAGGTTTCTCAACAGTGTGAAGACTAATGTGAATAATTTGAGGAAAAATTCTTATTACATGAAATTAAGAGATAAGTTTCTTGTTTAATGAACTGTATTAATTATGGGTTTTTTCTTGTTTACTTTGAAAAATTAAATCCCTTCACTACCGGAGTACTAAGCAAAATCATCTTCTAGTAAGACATTTTTGCATCTGTTACTAGAGCAATAATCGAGATGGTGTATTTAAATTGTACTTAGATGAGTACAATCTATCGAATAACAGTCACAATATGCTACAAACATCAATCTTTTTTGCAATGAGATTAAAATGGAAATGCATAAATACGTGAAGAAATATGATCACTTTACAACAGGAATATGTTTCATTAATAGATGAATCTGTGAAAAGGTTAATTTAAATTATATTGAGTTGCAAAAAAAATTTTTTTTTTGAAACTATACTTTAATAATATTTCTATTTTGTCATACATACAAAGATACAAAACTAAAATTAAATTAAATTATTTCACTTCATGTTATTTTACACAAAAAACTGCAGAAACAATGAACCTCTTTATGCAGGATATGACTTCAAATTCAGTACACAGTGAATGAATGCATTCTCAGACACACTGCAAAATTAATGTTATTTATTATTAGAAAAACTTCTTATAAAAATGAACATGAAATTATCAAATTTGATTTCAGTCACAATTCATTTCACACACACAGTACAGAAATATGGTTCAATATATATTTTTAAGTTAGACAATATTTTTTTTAACTTTCACTGACTTAAAAGGTTTGAGATCAGATATAGCTATGAAAAAATATTTAAATTGCTAATTTCTGTATCAGTGCTCCANACGGTTTAAACCATGGTTTAAACTGTCAAAAACTGTCACATGTCAAAAACCTGCCAACCCTGGTGCTCCATAATACATAATAAAGGCATGCTCTTATTAATTAACATAAATATAAGAAGGTAAAAAAATTTAATGCTATCTAAAAAGGTTTATTTGCACAACTCACATAGAGAAGATATTTTCATAATGTGAGCAAGAAAATTCCAATTTAAATTACCTGTATATAAACTTCAAATCACATGCATATAAGAGACAGTTTAATTATTTGATATCTCAATCTATTTATGACTGTCAAGTAATGCAGCGCATGGAAGAGTTTGTTTAAAGTGCTAGTTAGATTAAAATAAATTAATTCTTCTCTCCACAATTAAATTATCATAGCTGCTTAAATAAAATTTTCCTACATTATGAACACAAAACATTTAAATGAAATTCCTTCTTATTACAAACTTTTTATTTAGAAGAGACGTAAAATGTGTTATAATAAAGAAGAAGAATTATTAACAACACTCGGAAACTTATAAGCACACTAACAACTACAAACATTAATTTTATATTAAAATATTTTTCTATTCGAACATCTTGCAACTATGTGCCTAATTTTGCTCAATTACTATGTCCCATTATTGTCCCAACGAAGAATGTTATCGCCCAGATAGAATATTGCCTTCAATAACAATATCCATTTCTGCTAGGAAGCATGAACACACACACACACACTGCATGAATAGCTAACTAATTATATGAATGGAACAAAATACACATTTTTTAAAATATTTAGGCACTCACAGCATGAATTTTATGTACCGTCAGCAAAAAGAAAATTTTATTTATTCATTCAATCAATTTTGATATCAGTATAAAGAAGATAATATCATATGAATAAAATCAGCATAAAAATAACCCTTTCTATAGATCTTAATTACTATGCGTGCAATTCACTTTACATTAATAAGGGTTTTGGATACGCAGTTTTATAAATTTGAGAATAAGGGAGAGTTTTATTACAACGTGTCCCCAAGTACGAATAAATCTTATAATTTCAAATAGCACATTATGTAAATTACAAATAAAAAACAATGTCATAAAACTTTTCCTTACACATATTAAATTAGAAAAATACTTCTTCAATTCAAGCAAGATAGTATTATTCAAAATAGTTTATTTCAGTAAAGAATTCTTCTACAAACAAAGGAATTTATTGCGGTGAGAGTTGTTTACGTTTTCTGTTGCCTACCTCTGCTCACCTGATCTTCAGAAGCTAGTAAATATAGAATTATTTATAACTTTCTAATACGCCATCTGGGGAGAATACCAGTTCCATGTTTTTGACCACTCTCCTCTTTTTTTTCGATGTATAATAATGTACCACGATATTTTTCCTTTTCTTAATATTTTTCATATTTAATTGTAAAAGATATTTTTTTTAAATTTCCATTACGCTTTGTTTTAGAACTATGCTTAATGTAGTTTTCAGTTCTTTATAGCTTCCTAACTTAAAAGACTTTAATCTATTTGAAAATCAAGATAGAAATTAAAATGCTTTCTTCTTCTAAAACTCTCAACCCCCTAATGGTGAAAGCATGCGAAGTGTTGTCATAGGCAGAGAGTTCTGCTCTACGCTACCTGTAGCCCATTTTGATCTCCAATTGTCACCGCTGAACTATCCGCCATTACGGAGCAAATAAGTTTGCTAGTTACGTATTGTAAACATTAGCGTGAGAGTTTGAAGCCCATTTAGATGCTTAAAGTTAATGATATAAGTAATTGTGCATCGATGAATTGGGCAAACAGTTTAAGAAAAAAGGCTTACTAATGTTGAGATTTCCATCAGATCTCGAAAAAAGGAAATGGGTAAAAAATTTCAGATTATAAAACTAGCAGCTGGGATATGGAGCTCACTCATGTGAGGTAAATACTCATTTATTCATAATTAATTAAATTTATTCATTGATATATGTTATATATAAACGATCTTAAGTTGTTAAAATTTGTTTCTGAATGTTTGGTTTAGTCAGTTATTTTAGAAATAAATAAGCAGATATTCTGAGTTCCTTGAATTTTTCAGTTCTAACTAAGATAATATATAAGAAATTTCATGGAAAATTGCATTTATAAAGTTATTATTTTTTTTTATAAAATATGATCTTTAAACAACATTATTTACTTAAACAATAATTTATTTAACATTTTTGAGTGCTTGCGCGATATAAATCAAAGTAAATAAAGGCAAGAGATTGGCTCAATAACCAAAGTAGCACCCAATGTTAGGTAGGTAACATCAGAAAAATCAAACATTATTCGGTACAACTTTCTAGTATTAGAAAGATATAAAAGGTCGCTTTTTTCGCTGCATTATATAATATTAGTTTCTATACAAACCAATGTTATTTAACTTTCGCCGCAACATTACTTTGCATTGGTTTTGTTTGATGCTATATAATATATTAGATTTTGAATTTTCTAATATATTGTGCTGTATTTTATTTTTGGAGTAAACAAGTGGAAGATTTGGATGGTAGAATGATTCGGTGATATAATTTTACTTAATTTTGAGTATTGTTGTGAAGCAGTAAAACATGGAGCAATAGTCTTATAAGTCATTCCATGCATTTACTTAACAATACAGAAATACTGAATAAAATTTATATTACCGAATTCTGCTACCAGCTATTTTCCACCCTTTTTTTCCTGGAATAACTATATTTCAAATTCAATTAAGAAATAATACTTAAGTTATTGATATTTTTCCTGTCTTTTATACAATTAATTATTTTTGATGAATTTATTCCATTAATCATTTTTAAGTGTTTATCTTTAAATTTAAATTTATTCTATTTTTTTCTTTTTTGAGAAATAATCCAATTAAATGAATCTGACCAACTTTATTAACTTTAGACATTTTTCATTTTATTCTAGTTATTTGCAATTTCCCATTAATCATACATTATTTTTATTCTGAAATTATAGGATAAAAACTGCATTGTATAATTAGTCCCGCAGTGAACTGATCGTTTAGACACGGTTCTCAGCAAATCACCGAAGTCAAGCATCACTGGCTGCGGTAAGTGCGCGGGTGGGTAACCACTTGGATCAGTCTGCGTAGGGACAGAGAGTGTGCGGTATTGGTCCTCGCTAAACTGTTCTAATGCTCGACTTCGCGTGCGGGTCGTCGGGCTACCGAAGCGAGGGTGCCACCCCCTCTACAGAGGATCAAAATTGTGATGGCATGTCTTCGGATGATCCTCAGGGATGTTTCCCAGACCGTCGCCAATAGCCCATTGCGCACTCTAGTACGATATAAATGAACTACAACAACAACAGCATTGAATAATTATAAAAATATATTTACATTTGAATTAAATGGATATTTTAAATTTAAAAAAGTTTTTTTTACTTAAAATTCTAAAACAAAATTGTTTAGTTTTTATATTGTCATTTTTTGTAATAATTGACACAATATAGAACATAATTGGAAAATATTCAAATTACTTACTACAACAAACATTTTCTCCCTGCTCTTTTTCACTGAAATTAAATGGAAAAATACGTAACTTTATTCTTTTAGTATCTGAAATTTTATTTAACAAAGCACCTGAAACTAAACCCAAACGCAACATTGAAATTTTTCCAGGGAGTGAAACCAGGAAAGCATCTCATATTATGAAAATTGCCAATAGTTTTTTATAATGCAATAATAATTTCTATGGGCCCATCAGAAATTTTCAACAATTTCATAATTATTTAAAGATGTTATGTACTAAACCAACAATCTTAGCAAAAAAATTATTTAACATTTTAATTTCAAAACCAAAAAATTTAGTAAATATGTTTTATCTAAATTAAATTTGCACAAACATATAATTGCATACGAGAATCAGATGACATCCGATAAAAATCTTAATGTCAATGCACAAATTAACTGAGGTAAAGTTATTAACTGAATGCTTAGTAAAATAAGATCTTTCTTTGATGATATGTTTTTTTAAATTAGTGGTGAAATTGTCGAATAATTATTTTTAAAAAAATCATTGCAAGAAAGGTTTGCAAGGATATATTTTTTCAGACACATGCGAGTTAATTTAAATCAAATAAATGTACTATATGTACTCTCTTTTTCTTTCTAAAGGATTCCAACGAATAAAAGAGTATACATTCTTATCAAGTTTTAATATAAATTTTCGTTTATCTTACCCAATTTTAGTTTCAACAGACC